ACAGACAACCTCTCGTCAATATGCGTTTTTCGCATTGCATTGCTGCAAAAAACGCATAAAAAAGGGAACTGGTCATCCTCTCTTCCCCTTACTCTCCGGTGGGTAATCCTTTATCTTCAAGTCCCAATAAACCCGGCTATTAGGGCTTGAAGACGAGACAAATTACAAATTTGAAATTTTGTTAATCCACTAATTGAGACCAATGCATCATCCTGGTGCCGTGGGGCTGTTCTGAATGGGAAAAAAACCCCCACCAAAATTCTTCAACAGCACGCATACGAATATGTAGCAGTCATAAAGCGGACCTTTAAAATTCAAATAAGTGAAGAGTTTTCAGCCCAATATGCCATAAAATACCTTGAGATGCACATGCGGATGATTGGTTAACTCGTAAAGCAGCAGACGCCCATTTTGTGTACATATGGCAATGTATGGATCAACAATAGAGGCGCTTCTGGCTGGGAAAGTCTGTTGTAGTGGAATGTGCTGCAGCTGCTGTCCTTCCGCCACCACTACTATACTGGATGATGTTACCTTGAACAAGTTAAAGTAGCTTTTTTTCACAATACTTTGACAGTACAGGTTATTGTCGTGTACAGTTTTGACCCTTACTAAAAACATCCGAATCATCCAGCGCAGCGCCTTTGTCTAATCACAAAAAACAGATGCGAATCTATCAAAAACCAAATTCGCGCAAATTTAAAAAATTGAAAATTCCTTCAACAGTACAGCCTACGATCTTCAAAATTCAGCATACTCGTTTAAAACCACCAAAAAGTTTTCATACTTCGATAATTTTAATCACTTTCTCCCAATTCCCGCACACACTCTGTACTCCTCTGGATTCATGCCTCTTCTTATTACGTTCAGTTTGAACTCTTAACAGCAAACTCTTCATTCTCAAGAAGAAATATGCCAAAGGTTTGAAAAAATACAGTGAAAAAGTGCGGTTTTTTTTCTTTTAAATCTTAAAAGTATTCCGGTACAGTAAGCTGCTAAGAACGTCTTCGTTTTGAAGAAAAAAAAAATGAATGCCCTAGAACCTCGTTTTTTATTGCTTGGAAATTCAGCGGGCGCTGGAGTTTACCTGAACGGCGAGACCACCGTCAGCCAATTCACCAGCAGCGATTGTTGTTTCCGATGTAATAAAAATTGGAGTTTCCAGCTCCACCAAGTCATTATCTGTTTCCAGTGCCAATGTTCCCAACTAAAACTGTTTTTATTAATCGCAAATGCAGCATACCCCCGTTCCACTACGACAGAGGGAGGAGTCAGAGGGACTCCGGTGATCTCATGCGTAACTGCTTTCAGACTATTGCAGTGCATACAATAAAAATGTTCTGTTGCAGCGGGAAGCTCACGCGACCCAACTTCGCTGGCAAACAAAACAAAATAAATAGCAACGCGCACTAGACTAGCGGGTGCGATCATGCGTTTTGTGCAGTCCAGCCCATCGAACGATTGCCTATTAATGATTTTTATTGCATTGTATTTTCGTCAATGCAAAAATAGTTGAAATACTGGAAAATATTTAGAAATTTCACGCGCATCTGCATGAAAGCTGAATTCGAAACATTGAAAAGTGGATATCTTTCCGTGATTCCCGAGTTAATAGTTTACCCGCCAAAATTTTCACAAGGCCGTAGGTGACACCCGAGAGCGTGAGAACGCTAAATTTGAATACGCAAGGTTGAGCGTGGGCAGGGATCATTACCCTAAAATTTCAGCTTGCAGACCTTGGGGTTTCCAAGATAAAAATTTACTCGCAAAAATTTTCACTAGCCCGCAGATGATAGCCGAGAGCGCGGGGACGCTGAATAGGCAAGGTCGGGCATGGGCAGGGGGTCAGTATCCTAAAATTTCAGCTTCCTAGACTTCGTGGTTCCCGAGATAATAATTTACCCGTCAAAAATTTTCACGGGGCCGTACTTTTTACCCACGAGCAGGGGGAAGCTGAACTTAAATTTTCAGGGTAGCACTTGGACGGGGGATATGCTCACAAAACTTCAGCTTTCTACCTGCTGTGGTTCCCAAGATACTGATTTTACTCGGAAAACTTTTACAGGGCCGTACGTGTTACCCGCGGGTACGGGAAAACTGAATTTAAATTTGCCGCGTCATCTGTTGGCGGAGAACACCATACTAAAATTTCAGCGGCCTAACTTTTGTGGTTACTGAGTTGAAAGTGCGGGACAAAATGTGGGACACACATACACACAGACAACCCCGTGACAATATGCGTTTTGTATGCTCTTACATAGCACAAAACGCATAACGAACCTCCTTGGATGCGATGATATACATGTGAGTGTCGTCCTCCCGGCGCCCAATCGCCCAATATTCGACGACGCCATCAATGCTGCAACAGGCCTAATGATAACTGCAGCAGCGTAACCCAGGCTGAAACGCACCAGGCGGGCCGGTGCGATTATGCGTTTTTGCACTTCTCGTGCCGTAGCAAGATCGCAAGGAAATAAGTGTAGCTAACCCTGTGAAATACTGGCCCTCGGAGTTCGGAAGTAAATTGTGCAACTATGTGGTATGTCAGTTGTGAGTATCTGATCCTGCAACATACTGACTCTCGAAGTCCGAGAAGTTAGTTATGCAACTATGTAGTATGTCAGTTGTAGATGTCGGTTTCAGTGACCCGGCAAATGAAAAGGTGCTGGTTCGCAAAAAAAGCCACACCAGAAGAGTCAAATTTGAAATCTTTTAGTCGTACATAAGTAGAGAATATTCCCTTAAAATTAAAGCCTTGAGCTTATCTCGTCCCCGAATTTGCAGTTTTCCCACCAAAATTTTCACGTGTCCCTACGTGATTACGGGACGGTTTTAAGCAGATGAAT